TAGGAAAGAAAATATTCAGACTAAAACAAGCCAGATCTTTTCTTCTGCCTGAAGCATTTTTTTGAAATTAATTTTTGCAGCTTTACAGATTCTACTCACATCTTTAAAGTATATAACCATTCCATTCAATGCTACCAACATTGTGTACAGTGTTGAAGTTTATGTGTCCAGATTACTTTTTCACCTGTTAAAACATGACCTATGAGTTACAAGGGGCCATTTCCATTTGGTGCTATGAGCAAGAACATTGTTTTACTTAAGCATTTATTTGTAGGGGAAAATAAAAAAATAAAAAAAAAAAAGGAAAATTGGTTTCACTCCAGTTCCTAGAAGGTGAGATTTTACATTGCAGTTTCCTATTTGGCATGGACTGGCATATTTGTTGGCACAAACTCAAGGCTTAATGAGGCTTAAGGGAGTCTTACAGTCTCCATAACTAGATGCTAACATTGTCAAGCCTATTGCTAGATGTGCACAAGACCTGTCATTTGTGCACTCCACACCCCATGAGAACAGAAAATAACCCAGCATTGTATTGCTGACTTCCACATCACTAAGGCTACATAAAATCCATGCCAATTTGGGCAGCAGATGTTCCCTGGGGAGGTGTAGCCCATCTTACTGGGAAGCTGTGTTTGTTCTCTTCACTGTGGTGCTGCATATGAATGGATTGCTGTGCTTTATTCCCTGCTTGCTTTTGAGGCACAGACACCAAATCTCTGCTTCTGCTCTGAACTTGTCCATAAACAATCTTCTGAGGCTGAATCCTTATGCCAGCAGGAAAGAGGAGGAAAACAGATTATTTCTTGTACTTTACCACAGGGGATCCTAAATGAAAAGCTTGGCAGAGCATTCTAGATATGCTCAAAGAAGCCCTGCTAGGCTGGAAATGCAGGGATGGTATAGTGCAGGGATGACTGGATGCAGTCTCTCATGTGTCATAGTTTATCAGTGGATAAACTCAGTGCTTTGAACTTAGGCTGAGGATGCTTGATTACCATGCCTGTGGCTTACCAAACCCTGCAAGGTAAAGATCATTCTTGATTATGTTGAATTTTTCAGTAAGAAGTGGCTATGTTGGTCTGCAAATAGGAAATAATCATAATTTTGGAAGATCCGGCTGAAAATTGCATAGATTTCAGTAAGAGATGCATCAGACATATTTATTAGTATAAGATGTCTCCTGAGGGAGTCACTTTTATTAGGTTCTTATCTTAGATCATAGAACCATTATAGAATCACCAAGGTTGGAGGAGACCTCTAAAATCATCCAGTCCAACCATTAACCTGCCACTGCTGGAACCCCTAAACCATATCCTCCAGCACCAGATCCAGACACCTCTTAAACACTTCCAGGGATGGTGACTCCACCACCTCCCTGGGCAATATCCCAGTGTCTGAACACCCTAACAGGAAAACATTTCTCCTAACATCTAATCTGAATCTCAGCATATTAGGGATTATTATATTCTTAGGCTGTTTTCAACATTGCAGTACCAGTGAATTTGAATTAAGGAGAGATGAAAGGCTGACACTGAGTGATTAAGTAAGACATGCAGAGGATTGCCTGATGAGTGGATCTAGCTTATATATCCTTACGAAAGTTGGACAATTTGGGTGTAACAGGCTGTGTGAGATAACTACACCTTCCTGGATTCCCAGTCTCTAATAGCTGTAGTTTGTTTTGTCCTGGCCAACTCATTGGGTTTTGTGTTACAAAGGCTTTTGTGATCTCAGTAATAGGTATTGCACAAATATGTTGTTATTTCTGCTGTGAGAACACAACTTTTAAAAACTAATCCTTGCATTCACATTTTTGTGGTGGATTAGAAGGATAATTAAAGAGTAGGTGTTAAACTGCCTGACTGTCAGTAAGCTGTGCACTGCATATGAAGTCTCCCAGTCACTGGGATCTCCAAAATGTGCAGTTTATTAATAAAATAGTTCTGGAAAGAGAATTTACTGAAGATTTTGATTTTTTTTTTTACTAAAATGACCTGTATTAAAATAACCCATATAATCTGGTAGAATAACCAATAACCTCTAAAATCAGATTTCTAACACTAGGGATCAAGTTGGTATTGGTTTTATCTGTAAGGAAAGGCAAAACTAAATCCACCAAAAGATGGAAAAGATTATTCTTGTATCATTAAGGATGAAAGTTCCTTGCATATGGTCAAACAAAATTGTTAATATTCAAAGAGCTGTCTGCAACATCATTCTCCATGTAGATTTTACTGCTTTGAATGTTTAGTTAAGTTCCTAAAGCATGCAATAGAATTTGCTCTCAAGGTCAGTAAATGTTTGCATCCATTCTTTTACAAAAACCTTTGGAGATGAAAAGGAACATGGTAGACCCTACAGCATCTTTCCAGCTGCTGTTTCTTCCAAGTAGCAACACTCAGATAGTAAATCTTTAAAAAATCAAATTTTCTTGGCTGATTGCATGGTAAATTTTGTAAAAAAGAAAATCTGATTAGCTATAAATTCCCTCCCCACTTGCTTGAGTAGCCCGAAGAGGCTAATAAGCTATAAGCTTCAGCACTGAAAGAAATAAAACTAACAAATCATTCTGAGAGTATTTGTTTCATGGCTTTCCTTCCTCATGAATGGTGTTGAGTTTCCATAGTCTAGTGATGTGTCATAAGGTGTTCTGCTCATCAACAGCTTGATGGAGACAGATTACCCTTCAGGAGCCTTACCACCAAAATACCACTGAAGAGAGGATAGAATTCCAAGAAAATCATGGATTTTAGTAAATTAAAGTCATGGACATCAAATATCTCTAGCTGGTTTTGTCTCTTTTGTCTTTGTCTCTCTAAAAACAGTCACCACGATTTTGATCATCTTTCATGTCAGTCATGGTGTTTTCATTGTCAACCACTGTCAGTCACTGAAACAATAAGGAGGGACATTATATGAGATTCAGATTAGATGTTAACAAAAATGTTTTCCCTGTGAGGATGCTCAGGCACTGGAATATGGCCCAGGGAGGTGGTGGAGTCACCATCCCTGGAAGTGTTTAAGAGGTGTCTGGATCTGATGGTGGAGGATATGGTTTAGGGTTTAGGGGTTCCAGCAGAGTGACAGGTTAATGGATGGACTTGATCTTAGAAGTCTCCTCCAGCCTTGATGATTCAATGACCTTGTGCAATCACTGCCCTGTGCTCACATCTACCCTGTGCTGTGTGGGAAACTATCCCAGTTTATCTGTACTTTCCTAGTATATCAAATGTCTGGTTATGAGAAGGTTCAGTTCCACCTTACAGGCACCAAATTATGGGAGTTAATAATGCCACCAGGAAAAGGGATGAGCAGTAGCTTCTCAGACTGACTATGAAAGGTCAGTCTGAGAACTTCAGAGTGGGCAGAGGGGCTGCATGTTAATGGCAATATGCTGATGAGTCTCCAGGTGCCTTTGAAAATCCTGGCTAAAAGCTTACAGGGAGGATTTTTTGAAATGAAGCAAACCAATTGATTTTTCAAGCACTGAAAAAAGACTTCTGAAAGTGATGTGGACAATTTTCATATATATTTAATGAGTAGTGTTTCAGTTTAAGCATTTAAGCCCAGATTGTAAATCTTGACTGTATGTTTATCTTTTGTTGAGGAGCACATGAAATAGAAATATTATTTGGTTTAGCTTTTTTTATTTTACCATAAATAAATGCGTGTAGGCAGCTCTTAGCTCTTGAAAGTTGTCACACATGTAAATGAATCAAAACACCACTCTCTTTCAGTAACTGAGGGTGTTTTTCATCTTCCTCTGAAACTATTTAAGGATCATGATAAAAATGAAGGAGAGTTATGTATCATATTTATCAATGCAAATTAAAGTCTGATAAGTGTTCATTCAATCATTAGGTCTCTCATAGACAGGTATGAATCTACTGTTTTCTATATGGAAGTAGAGAGCAAAAACTTTGCTTTAAAAAATAAAAAGGCTTTAGCAACACTGTCAGGGCACATTGTCCCAGATAAACACTTTGTAACTTAGAACTATGGATTCATTTCTTAGATTTATGAATAAATATTAAATCAGGGCTTCATTTTCCTATGTCCTGTGTATTGGCCACCCTCTTAAAATCATGGGAAGCACAGTTCAATAATCATGTTCATGAGGGAAGAAAGCATAATTATATGCTAAATATTTGAATAAAGACAAATTGATTATCAAGGTTTTATTTTTCTGTTCTCAGCTCTTGAGAAATATCCCTCCTGTTATTACTGAAAAGTAAAACAATCTGAGTGGGGGCCAAAATATGTTGGCCAAGCAAAAACAGGAAGGCTGAGCCTTCTCAAGGGCAGCAAGTAATACTTATATTGCAGATGCTCATGCTATTCCTGTAACAGGCCTGATCCTGCACTACTGAGATCAAAGGATGTTTTCACTTTGCTGGAGAAAGTTTTCTGTTGAAAAACAAAGCTAGTTCTACAGTTCTGGTAGTTTGGTCCAAAGCCCATAAACAAACAATTGAATAAATGGACATATTTCAGCTTGACTGAATAATTTATTTTTCTTTTAAGAAGCCCTGCATGGTGATGAGGAACTAAATAAAATCTGACCTTGAAAATGATAAAAACTTATTCTTAGTGAAGCCCCTGTTAGAAAAAGAAAACAGAATGTTCTTATGTAGTTTCCATTGATCTTGTGGGTTTTCTGCACTCATAAACTTCAAAATGTATTGAACACATTGACTTAATAAATTATCTTCCTTAAAAGCCAAAGCTGTAAATAATCATATACATTAAAACCAGAATTCATTAGATGAATGGATAACAGCATGCCTGATTTTTTGTGAGCTATGTCTATCTACTTAATGCACAAAAGAAGTGCATTCACACTGGGAAAATTTGTTTTAACTCAACAGTTGTATTATTATCCAGTGTCTGATGAGGCTTTTTCTTCTCTTACTGACACCATTTGTGTTCAAAGATGTCTTTATCTAGACAGAATAGCAGTTGAGAAGCAAGAAAGGTGACTGAACCCATTTACTAAGTTGCTGTCTTTACTATTTCAGAGCTGCAAGAAACTAAGACCTCTGAATATCACAGGATATCCCACAGTCCCCTGGATTACAGGATATTATTCATGGATGAAGATCAGGATCGGATCTACGTGGGCAGTAAAGATCATATTCTGTCTTTGAATATTAACAATATAAGCCAGGACCCTCTCAGTGTAAGTTCAGGTTTTGTTTTGGTAATCCAAGGTTGCTTTGCTATATGCCTTTCTTTAGAAGACAGAAAAAATATGTTTCATTATTTTGCAGCAGATGACATTCCACACCTACATGTTATTGAACTGTTACTCCTTGTTTTGCATGTAATGCAGATAAAGCTATTAGTGTGGCTGCTCCTCAAACACTGTTTAAACTGACCTGTTTGCTTGTTTGGAAGTGACATCCTCATAAGGAAAATTTGTATGGGTTGGTGGTTTCTGCTCCTCTCCAAGATTTAAGATAGTTCTCAGATGCTCTTTTTAAAGAAACCTCTAAAGCAGAGTAAGATACACATTACTGTTTCCAGGAATAAATAGGAATAAAGCTAACAAGGACAGAGTTGCCTTTGACCTTCATCTGCATTTATTTTTGTTTTGAACAAGCCTAATTGTTCAACTGTTTTTCAATCTCTTGTTATGTCTCTGTCAGCCCTTGCCTTCAGCTGTGTATCTGAGACACCTCGTTGGGTTTTTTTTTGAACACTATGACCCACATCTCCCTCTTGACACCACCTCTTTTCTGGCTTCTCTCCCTTACCAAAATGGCATTCTCTAAGGACTCTGTGTCCCACCTCCCCAAACAGTAGTAGGCAGCCTCTATATGAAAATAATCAAATTATCAAAAGCTTAAGCCACTTTCACAGATTCCTCTCTTGTCTCCAGAGCCAGTTCAAATCCAGCTTCTTTGCTTTTGAAATAGGTGACCTGCAGAAGTACTTGTGTGCCCAGAAACTTGACTGTTAAGCTATTACTGCTCTACAGACTTTGTCTTGCCTATCTTTAGACTATCACAGCTACTACACTGCTTTAAATTGTGCTGTAAAGGCCTTGTTCCACCAAATCCATCCAATCCTTTAATCTATTGGCTTTACTACCATAGCTCAGAAGTACTGAGGGGCAGAGATACCCAACTTGCAGCAGGGAAGATAAATGCCTTCCTTAAGAGGCAAAGCTTTTAATGTGTCAGGGGAGAGAGAGAGGGGCCCTGCTGGAGAATGATTGAGCACAGTTGAATTAGGCTTTGCTCTGAATCACCCTCTGGACATGCCTGTCTACCTGAATTGATTGTGCAGGGAGTGCAGGGAGCTCAGTCTAACTTAGACATGGAAATTAAATGCCTCTCGTGCAATGGTGTGAATGTACCTTTCCCTCCTCCTAATGGTTTAGAAATCTTCCTCTGCAATGGGATTGCCTTCTCTGGTCTGAAATATCTGTGACCTTTCTGCTAATTCCCATCTCCCCAGTGATCCAGACACCCTTGTCTGGGAGGAATTGTGTCCCCACATGGCACACTCACTCCTGTCCTTGGCAGGTCAGTTTGAGTTCTGTGCAAGAGTTCAGTTAGATAGGAAGGCTACTCTTGCAGGAAATATTTGCTGCTGTATAAAGCTGTGAGGCATTTCAGCAGCCCATGTAAGTCTAGAAAAAAAAAAAAAAAAGAATAAAAATGTCAACAGAAAGAAAGAATACGCAAAGATTTCTGTCAGTGAATGTGATTGCTCAGTGTTAGGCTCAGAATGAATCTCTGCAATTCCACACAGTCTTTTGTTTGTTGATTTATTATTACAACAGATTCACTTTACTGATATTATACCTCTGTAGAAATTCTATATACCTGTGCTTTCAAATCCACAGTTCTGCATAGATATGTCTGTGTGTACATATACACACAGAGATCTTTTACTGCTATTGTTCGTGTTATCTTGAGGCTAAATGTTATCAGGCTCTGTCACTTCCTAGATTTCTAGGGATGAATTGCTAATGGATGTCTTTTCTATTTCAAAATCAAAATAAATAATGGAAGAAGCTCAAAATCTTTCGAGTTTGAGTATAGATGAGATACAAATTCAGACATTGAGGTGTTTTACAGCAGAGTGGCAGGTTAATGGTTGGACTTGTTGATCTTAGAGATGTCCTCCAACCTTGAGGATTCTATGTTCTTGTCAGAAAACTGAAAGAAATCAGTCTGAAATACTGAGATTTTAAGCAGGTTTAGTCGTTATTTATCCAAAACTTTGATGTTAAAACTTAAAAATTGTTCCAAGAACCCTTCTTGCAATATTTCAGTCTTCTGGTTTCTAGTGTGAATAATTTCTGTAAGTTCAGTAAGCGTAAAAAAGTAAAGATGGACAGTAATTTAGGTAATAACAGTGAAAAATCTCTCTTACTTAGAAGAAAGAAGTCTAAATAAATTTCTTAACTTGCCTCAAAAATATGTAATTAACTTAATATATATCAGCCAAAGACCTGGGGCTTTATTTTGTTTGCTGCATGCTGAGACAAAGTTATTTACATATATCAATGAAAATCCTTTTTTCTCCTTAGTATCAAAGTGTGAAATATATCTAAATATTAACATGTTAGTGTAAGTTAGGCAGCGAAATGTTTAGTTTAAATTCTGCAATACATATACTATTTGACTGATACTTCTTTCCTTACAGATTTTCTGGCCAGCATCATCAAATAAGGTTGAAGAGTGCAAAATGGCTGGCAAAGATCCTACGGTGAGTTTTAATCTACACACACACATATACACAAATTACATATTTGGCAATAAAGGAAGAGTGCACTTGAGTGCAGCCAAAGCAAAATGAAAGAAGGGTTTGTTTTGATTTTGAAATGCTTTGCCGACCAATCTATAAAGTGAAATAATGGGAAAAAAAAGGCACTGTAAACAGAATGCACCTTCAGACTTTGACAGATGGGAAGAGATATGCAGTGTCCATTTCCTCACCTTTTTTTTTTTTTGTTGCTAGTCAAATGAGGTAATAGTACTTTTCCAGGTGTGTCCTGGGGTGATGCTGAACAGCCTGTTGAGCTGCTCATCAGAGCAGAGAAGTACTCTGGCTGGCTGCTCACCCCAGGCACAGACTCTGGAGGTGGATGGTACCCACTCTCTGCAGTCTGAAGCCCCTAGTTGTGCACCAGTTTTCAGATGCTGTAGCTGAAACAAGATTGTGAATGCCTTTAAATGTAAATAAACCTTTGCAGTCTGCTAAACAAAGATTAACTCTTCTGATTTTCATGAAGATGACTGATGGCTCAGTTTCCAATCCTGTGCTCACAGAACACATGCAGTTCTCAGTGTCTTTGAGGAGGTTTGGATGATGAATTTGAAGGCAGTTCTGGGATCTCAGTAAGAAAAAATATTAGGAAACAACATTTATTTTCAATCTAGACTGTGTTAACAGTTAATCATAGTTAAAAAATGAAAGAACAAGAGAAGAAAGGGCTGTGCTGGAAGGAGAAAATTGTCAATCCAGTGGTGTGAAACTATGTCGTCCTTAACATTCTGTTTTAATTTTCATGATGATTTGAAGATGTTACTGTAGGTCTTCAATATGAAGCAACAATTCACTGCAAACTTCCTTCTAAAGCTGTTTATGCAAATAATGGGAACTGAGATTTGGCCTTGATTTGCTTTAGAATTATCTCCATCTATGATGAATAAATTGGGGGGGGGGGGTGAGGGAGAGGGAGGGGTAAGAGAATGTTTTGGAGGTGTCCTTAAGGAAACTTTATAAAGTTACTTCTTGTTTTCCTGAAGAGGTCCTGCTTCTTCTCATGCAAGGTTCAGAGAAATCTGTGGATGAAAATTGGATTGCAGTGTAGAAGTGCCACCATCCCTGGAGGTGTTTAAGAGCTGTCTGGATCTGACACTGGAGGTTCTGGATTAGGGTTTAGAGGTTACAGCAGAGTGACAGGTTAATGGTTGGACTTGATGATCTCAGAGGTCTCCTCCAACCTTGATGATTCTATGATTTATGAAGTGGGAATGTTACACATACTCCTCTATAACTCCTCTCTAGTGCCCTATCAATGCCCAGTTCCCAGACTAGCCAAAATGGCCTGAAAAGACACAGAAGTCTAAGTCAACACAAGCTATTCAAACCCTAACAAACTCAGTAACTGTTTTCACGATACTATGAAAATTACACACCGTGTCTATTCCCTAGAGTTACCAACACCTACGAACATTTTCCCAGTGTGAAATGATTGTTCTCTGCATTTCCTGCAGCATGGCTGTGGCAATTTTGTGCGCGTGATCCAGTCGTACAACCGCACACACCTCTATGTCTGCGGCAGCGGCGCCTTCAGCCCCGTCTGCGTGTACGTCAACAGGGGACGCAGGTCCGAGGTGAGTCTCCTTCCATTTCATCCTCTCCTTTTCTGGTACAGCCCACTGGTGTGATGAAAAAACCTCAAAATCTGGAAAATGTGAAAATCAGTGGTCTGAATAAGTTCCTTCGTCCGTGTTAAACGGTAGAAGAACAAAGGTGTATGGTTTTCTGCCCTGTAACCAGCTAGAAGCAAAGCCATGATTAAAGCCATGACTCTAATATGGTGATGGTTGATTGCTCAGATGATGATATATTGATTGCTCATAGCAACCTTCCAGGATCTGAAGGGACTCCAGGGAAGTTGGAGAGGGACTCTGTGTTAGGAGCTGCAATGACAGGACAAGGGGCAATGGATACAAATTGAAGGAGGGGAAATTAAGGTTAGCTATTAGGAAGAAATTTTTTCCTATGAGGGTGATGAGACACTGGCCCAGGTTGCCCAGGGAGGCTGTGGCTGCCCCAACCCTGGCAGTGTTCACAGCCAGGTTGGATGAAGCCTTGATCAACCTGCTCTGGTGGGAGGTGTCCCTGCCCAGGGCAGGGGGTTGGGGCTGGATGATCTGTAAGGTCCATTCCAATCCCTAAAAATTCTATGATTCTATGATGATTGTCCAGAATTCCAAAGTCATACCAAATACTGGACTACATTTGATATTTTTATTTTTCATTGTCTGGTGAATTTCAAGAAATACTTGAAAGGAAATAACAAGTTAGGGAAAAAAAGTTAAATATGCAGTCCACTTTGTATAACTTCCATGCATTATAACTGGTTCCTGGGAGAAGTCAGCTTAAGACCCACAAGACAATTCCAGTACAAGAACCTCATCTCCTGCACAAGTTTTTGCCCCACTAGATTCTGATGGGATGAAGTTGGTGAGTTTCTCTTCACTGTGAGATCATACTTTTTCAAGACTGATCTCCATTTTTTTCTAGATTCAGTTTCACTGTGTGTTTTCAATATACTAAGTACCAGATGTTTCAGAAGTATATGGTCCAAGTTTCCTGATTTGAAAGTGAAATGTTTGTTTATGTGCAAATGCAGTAGGTAATAAATTAAGCAACCAGAAGGAGAACGAAAGGCACTTAACCAAGTCGCAGCACCTCAGTAGCTTTTGGGTCAGATTCATGTCTGCAGGCACTGAGGTGTGCAGTATGCTTTCCTGAACAATGTGGAAGCAGATGTGTTGAGCAGGAAGATCAGAGTGTGCTACCTGGAGTTTTGCCATGTGAGGGCAGCTTTAAAAGCTGGGCTGGCTTCTCAGGAAGATACTTGGAAATTCATAAGTGATTTAATTAGGAGTGGGATGGGAATTCTGGCCAAGACCCAAGACTGCTGCATAGGTTGCCAGGGGAGTGGTAAGTCAATGTTTCTCCAGGTCAGTTTGCATGGGATGATCTCAGTGACTTTTGGTAGATCCCTGCCTGGCTCCAGCCTCCTTAACACAGCATGCAGTCTGAGTCTCTGCACCTTCAGTCCTAATAAATTATCCATAAGTAGAGATTTGTAGGCCTGGATTTAAAAGTAGAACTAAATAAGTAAACCCATCCTTCTGGTTAACAAATTCTACATCAACTTACTTTGATGTGTTTTGAAACAGGAGTCACTTTTCCTCAGCATCCTCCTATTTCTTGACAAAGTATTTAAAGCATTAAAAGTGATCTCATTTGCCTCTCATTAATATTCCTTTATCATCTTCAGTACTAGTACTGCAGCCCAGAGAACTTTGAATCTCATTATTTCAGACTTTTTAGTAAATGAGGTTGGGACAAGGGGTAGGGCAGGAAATGACATCTCCAGATGATGCAAGGTGTTAAATTTCTGAAATGAAAAATAAAGATACATGACTTGGAAAAGCATAACTGGCTTCATTTAGCCTGACTTTAGAGCTACATGCCTATGATCAATTGATTAAATAAACTGCTGTTTCAGACGTCTGGAGTCTGTGGGACCCTTGACTGTAGGCATGGCATGCTCAAAGCCTTTACTGTCCAGGCCAACAATAGCATAACAGTTTAAAACCAAGCATTTCCTCCTGAACTCATTGCATATATATCTGTGCATGACTAATTAACAGAGCAGAATGAAGAACTATGTAGTGCTGGTGGGACTAGTGCGAGCTCATATTTTTTAATCTGCTTTTATCATTTCACCTTTAATTTAGTGCAGTTTTCCATGCACAGAAGGCTGGTTTTGCACATGCAGAATTAATCTTTTACAAAGCACATCTGTTTTTTTCTAGAAGCTACAAAGCCTGACCGAGTCATATCCAAGAGTTGTAAGGACTGGGCCTGTTTTGCTCTTTTGTCTCCAGGATTCCACATAGTCTCATAAAAAAAAGAGGCTTTCATTGATGAAGCAGAATGTTGCCCTTTTGCCTGAAACAGAGGTTAAAAAGCAATTAATTTTCTTCCTTGGAACACTTGATACTTTGCTCTTTGGTAATGACTCCCTTAGTCACACAAATATGTTTTCATCTCTAAGTAAATGCAAACAGGAGGAAATGCAATCCCTATGTGAAGTATAGACTAAAGAGTAGTTTAATATATATTAAAATCAAGTATAATCCTGGAGCTAGTTTAATAGAGCAGTAATGGGCATTTTGAATTGGTAAATAGTGGTATGATACAGTAAGTATGGATTAAAATCAAGCTGCATATTAATCTAGAAGTAAAGCAACAAAAAAACCAAACAGCCAAGATCATTTTAGAAACTTCATACATACATTTTAACATTGTTTAGAGAGCTTATTAGTGAGACAATAGATAAGATCTCTGTGATTAAATTAGGCAAAAGAGAAGGGGGGAAAAGAGAGGGGATAATGGGTATGAAAACTTCCTGCTGCAGCTGTGCATTTGAGTTTGATGGAGTCTCCAGTTTGCTGGTGCCAAGTGGCTGCTCAGTGATTTGTGTGGCATCTCCATTCCCTGTGATTTGCATTATTTTTTACAGAGAATATACAGAATTTCTGGCCTTGGTCAAATAACTAACCCATTGGCATCTACATGACAGAAGCTTTTCTTCGGAATTTTTGTCAGCTACCTTTTCCTTGTGAACCTTTTTAAGTTGGGTTTTTTCCTTGCAATTGTGTCTTTTGGCTTTTTATTGAAGAATAGAAGTTTGTTATGGAGCCTAGGAAGAAGTTGTTTCACATACAATGGTATGTGAGTTGATGTGTGATGGACCAGTGTCACTGACTGACTGCAGTTTTTAAGGAATAGGCTTGGACCTGAGTCACTTCTTGCTCAGCACAGTGTGCTGTTTAGTGTTGCTGGGAACCAAGAAGTGAAGAGTAGCACCAAAATGGGCAAATTTTATAAAGATATTCAGTCTGTTTATATTTCAAGCTGTAGTCCAGGTTGCTTCTACTTTGCTAAATGCATTTCCTTTTCATAAATCACATAATATATAAACAAATCCTCATAGCATGATTTCTAAACAGAAAAAAAATTGCAAGTGTTTTCAGGCTATGGTAAAAGATATTGATAACTCATCTATCACTGTGGAATTGGAGCTCTAAGAATAATCCAAGAGATGGTATTGAAGAAAACAAGTATGGTTTAGGGAAATTTTGGAGGTCTGATAGCTCAGACCAAATGATTTATACTATCATCAAATGACAGTTGTCAAAACAGATTTTTTATTTAATATGTATTATCATTCTAGTACCTTTATTATAATGTCCTAGTGTAAGTATCGCCATGTATTCAGCAAATAAATGATAAATAACTTCAAAAACACAGAAGCAATCACCATAAATGTTATTGAAGGCATGGAAGCAATCACCATAAATGTTATTGAAGAGATCAGTGGACTTCTCTGAAGCTTCACTGAGATAGAGGGAAAAATTCTTTGTTTCACAGCTTCTCTGAAGCTTAACCGAGATAGAGGGAAAAATTCTTTGTTTCAGTGTCTTGAATTTCTACCAAGAGTCTTGAAAATAACCAGATACCAATGAAAACATTATCTAACCAGATGATGGAATTATGAATAGGAAAGTTGAACTGATGATGGTAAAAGTGCCCAGTGATGCTGAGAATTGTTAATACTGGAAATGGCATCAAAATCTCTTTACATCTGATGATTTCTGAAATGAGAAGTGACACCCAAATCTGCATTGCAGGAACAAGTCTTCAAGATCGACTCCAAGTGTGAATCCGGAAAGGGACGATGTTCTTTCAACCCTAATGTGAACACGGTGTCTGTTATGATCAGTAAGTAAAGATACTCCAACTTGTTGAGGACTAAACCCATATGGCTGTGCACAGTGCATATTGACTGAATGCCTGAAAGGAGCTGAGCACAGAATTCAGCCTGCACAGAGCAGTACTTTTTATCTGGCTGATAGGTGCAAGGGTTGGGTCCATCTTTGTTCCAAGCCTTATATGAAGCTAAAGGAGGGTGGACAAATGAAGTGCAGAAATAAGTTGTTGAAAGAGAATGAGAGAGAAGCAGCAAACAGAAGATTGTCCCTTTTCCAGCTTACACATTTTTTCCCAGGATTAGTTGCGACTTTACATTGCCCTGTCTAGCCTTTATGTCTGAATGGTTTCTGACCTTGTTCATCCTAGAGAGCACTTGTGTCTCATTTAATTATTTGTAAAATCTCCAAGCAGCCAGGGAAAGAAAGCCTAAAGAATTTAGATGCTTGGAATTTCATTTTTGCTGTCATCTCTGCTGTAGAGCCCACCAGCTATTGCAAGGCTCTTCATTCTTCAATTGGCTTTATACCCAACCGGTTTTACAATTTTCTTCCATTTAAAAGGCCAGAAAGTGATACAATTGCCACTCCTCAAGTATTCTTGTGAACTGGTGGTGACTGTACCTAGTGACTGTGAGATATAGCCCAGGCAAGGGATTTCTGCTGTGCTTATTGCACACTTATGGGAAAAGTCAAAGGGAGCATACACTTTGTGCAACCTAAGTCATCTGTAAAAGATACTTCTTTTCAACCAGGAAGCACATTATATATACTCAGTGTAACTAACCCAAAGTTTCACATTTGCAGCACGTTCACAGACATCTAGTGCCAAAGCCTTGATTTTCCAACATGTGCCTACTCCTTACTGTATATTTTGCTTGAAGGGAACAGCAGTTGCACATTTTTCTCAGGCTTTCTTAGCAAATAAAACCTAGTGCACATGAGTACTGCATATTTCATCTCACTTTTACAAGGGAACAATGTGTGGGGTTTCTGCCATTCAGCTTCCACTGAAATCAATGGGAATTACCTTTTGTGCCAGGTATTTCCTTTAAAGTTTGAGCCTCGTGGATCTAAAGGGAAGTGTCATATAGTCTGTCCTACATGATCTGTTCAAAATATAAATTTCCTCTTTTTCTGATTCCTCATTGCAAATGTATTTAGTACAAAGGACAAGTATATTTATACACAGACCTATGAACTGAAGCACTTTAGAGAATAGGTAAATTCTACCTAGATGACTCTCTGAACCTTGGCTGCACTTATACCTTTATCTCAGCAGTGATCTAGAGACAGTGTTTACAGACATTGTGTAAAGAAAATGTTTGTTCAAAGTCAGTGATGGATTAGTCCACTGCTACTCATTGCTATTCTGGTAGTATGAAGTGAATCAGCTGTCATTAAAAAAAATTTAAAGTCTCGTTTCCTCATTCCTTCTGGATTTGATGTATTTAAAGTTTCCTTTCCTCATTCCTTCTGGATTTGATGTAACACCATTAAGGTACATTGTTTCTGAATCACTGTGTATACAGTAAGCTGATTTCTTTCTACAATAGATCTATGGCATCTTTGTTCATCTTAATAGACTTTTCATTATCTCCCTTGATCTCCCAGTTATGTGACTAAGAGACCTTCCCTAGTGTTTGACTTATCATTCATGACATTGTTCATCTACAAAGTTATTCCACTAAGCTCATATTCCTTTTTAAAAGAGTCCCACAGATTGGGTTTTATACTTTCTCCCTGTTGCTACAAAGTTCAGTCTCTTCAAAAACATTAAACTCTAATGAATTCCCAGAAAAGGGAATATTTTGTAAGTCACAACTTGTGCAATAGTGAGCCCATGTACTGGACTCTCCTCTGAGCATTCTGCAGGAGGAATTCCCTCCCCTTGCTTCAAAGATAGGAAATACTGCCAGACAAGCTAACTCTTCCACAATAAATGAATCATTTTTATATATGCAATTTCTTGATCATTTTGGGCATCACCAGCCTAGAACACAGCAAGAAAGCTGATTCACCTTTCAGAGGAGAGTGGTGCTATAAAACCAAATTTGATCTTGGTACAGTTTGCCATTGTCCAAAGACATATTTGCATCAAAGCAATGAGAAATGTGTGTGCTGGTTTTAAAGCAGCTTGGCATAACTAATATACAGGATGTATGTCTTTCTCCCCACCAAGACTGAGATATTTCCAAAAGCAGACATACCTCATCAATTCAGTAATTCCCCCCAGTAACAAAGCAGAGTAGTGTGAACTCGTTGTGCTGTGCAGACCAAGTGCTGTGTGGAATTTAAGGATTTTACCAGAAGGAAGTGGAACTGACAGATATCATTTGAGACATGATTAGCAAGCAGACACTAGGAATGCTTAAGACATAACTAATAGCATTGATACGTAATAGGATTAAAATTACAGAGTGTAGGACTATTGTTCAAGTGTGTGTATGTGTATATGCACAGGACTGTACATAAGGTTTAGTGAGAACCATAAACCTGATCTCTCTTGGCCAATTTACTTCAGAATAAGAATAAAGTTCTGATGGATCGAGGCAATGAGGCAAGTATACAAAATCAGTTATAAATCAGCCTAGATCTAACATCATTCTGTCAATGCTTCACCAACATGCAGTGAATGCATAGTTTAAATCCCCTAGGTATGAATCTTGTCATCACTGGGAGAGATGAGAGCAGAAGAGCAGCTGCTGGACGCCCTGCCCTGGTGCAGTTTTGGCTCTAGTCAGCAGCAGAAAAGCAAAATCTCCAGAGTTTTAGCTCTCTTGTGAGCCAATAGTCTTCCATATTGATGCACAACACGCAGAGCATGAAAATAGCCTCAAGTGCTTCTGAACCTGTGGTTCTTGCCAGCTTGACCACACTCTCTGGGTAGTCCAGGAACCCAGACAAAAACATCAATCAAGGGACCCAGCTGTACTGGAATCTATTCAGCCACCCCTCCCACTCTGAGAGTTAGAGTTTATTTTAGCTACTGTTTCCTACTCTGGCTTTTCATTGTCATTAGTCAGTGGAAATTGCTTGGTTATTCACGGACTAGAAAATGATGGTATATGTAATTATCATTATAATTGTAATTATATATACATATAGTTAGGCACACACACAGCCTCACACAAACACAGATCCATCCTGACTGATGGACTGAGTGTTCAGCCTTGCACAGGGAGCAGAAGTTCAGAGCTCTGTTAATGTAAGAGTTGCGTGTCTAATTCTTTTCAGGCGTAATGACCCTATACTTAGAATAAAGTGCATAAAAGGGGAGAATTGTTGCTCCATATTACTCTGAGTGAAGTTCAATAATATGATTGTCTGGCCTCTGCAATATGAAGTCAGCCTGGGGCAGCCGTGACAATTCTGCTGGTAAAAATTGGCACTGATCCACTGGCTGCAATAGATGTTCTGCCAGTTTACAACAGCAATAAATTCAACCCAGTCACTTTGTCTACTTCCAAAACGAAAAAAGCTTTTTGAAGTCCATACTTAAACAAAATTGAATGTGATGCTTTTTGATAACACTAGCCTGATTTTCCAGTGATCCTCAGCAGTGGAAATTGAGCGACTAAACTTCATATCAAGAAAGGTTCACCACATATATAGTTCTGTTATAGCATTTAATTATGCAGTTCCCTAAAGTCTTTGAGAAAAATCTGATGATTTTCATGCATTCTAGAATGTGTCTCTGTAAATCAGAGGAAACCCCATTCCCATGACCCACTATTTATCTATACAGGCTCCTGTGTAAATAAAGAGTGGACAAATTTAAAATAAACTTGTGGATTTCCCAAAAGCCATAACAATGCATTTGGTTTTTTCCCCCCTCCATTTCAACTCTTTTCAGATGAAGAGCTGTTTTCAGGAATGTATATTGATTTCATGGGCACAGATGCAGCTATTTTTCGGAGTCTGACCAGGAGGAATGCAGTGAGAACTGACCAGCACAACTCCAAGTGGCTCAGTGGTGAGATGCTTTTCTTTTGCCAGAGCTTTTCATGGGTGTCACAGAGATTCTGCTTGGTTTTGCTTAAAATAAAGAACTTGCCTTTTAAAGAGCTTGTCTCTGAATTTAGTTCATGAAGTTGAACCATGAAGAAATGTGTTAATACGTCCTGTAGACATTATATAGATACAAAGGTTCCACTGCATGAACCAACCTCTTGGACCACTTCACCTGATGGTCTCTTTTGCATTAAGCCTGAATAAAACTGCTCAAGGGAAGGTGGATGCAAACCTTTCAAATGGCAAGTGGTCAAACAATCTGACTTCTGGGAAAGTGCCTTCACCTCTAAAAAATCAGATATTGCCTTAAATAAAAGTGAATCTAAGCTAACTCAAACTGATCACCTCTGTACAGAGGTCTCACCACCACTTGCATTCACAATGTGTGCAGAAGAGAGTCCCATTATCAGAGAAGTCAGTGAGGATTATTGCCATTTATTTCAGTGGTGAGAAATTGGTTATCAAAGCACAGTAGGAAAACTCATTTCTGAGTGAAAACAGTTAACTCTTGGCTTCACTGAAATCACTGTGAAAATTCTCTCTGACTTTACTGGTAAGAAGACTCCTTCCAGTTAAATCATTTTGAATTACAATGGTGGTCAATCCTCTGAGCAGAGGTAGAAGTCAAAGGTTAGAGAGCAACTAACATAGCAGTTATAATTTTAAAAAGTTTTCAGGTATGTTGAAGTAAAGTTACTGTGGTTTTTGTCTTGACTTTTTTTTAGGATAACTTATTATTCCTGTGTGGCTGGGACTATAGTGAAATCACAGGATTGCAATCAGAATAAGTTCAGTTCCCTATGAAAGGGAAATTATTCTGCTTTCTGAATTTTTCTTCTGATTGCTATACATTCTTACACACCCTAACATGTGCATCCTGAAGTGAATTTGAGTTCAAGAACAACTCAAATTGCATAATTTCTGGAAAATCTACCTGTTACCTATGCTCAGAACAGGTGCTTGATAGGTACAATTTGTTTCTATGTTCCTTTAGAGCCAGAGTCATGATACCTGTTATATCAGTAAAAAATTGGGTTTTGTGATTAGAAAAATGCTGTAGTCTAAAGTGAGTTTTCTGCCAGGTATTCAACCTCTGTATCAGATTGTTTCAACATTTGTACTGCATTTCAACCAGTCAAGCAATCCTGAATGATCATTGAAAAGACATATGCAGGGAGAGGGTTCACTTCTTCCTTCAGGCACAGGAGAAGGTTTTCTGAGGACTCCTCTACTGTCCATTATGTGCTTGCTGTTAAGGTTACAAATTATTTTGCTCTCTCACTAGTGTTTCTTTGCAGCATTTTCCATGTTCACTTGATTACATTTACCAACCTCTGATATGAAGTCAAATGCTGCTCAAGAATTTGCATACTCTGCTTTCCTTTTCTGCATTCCACAAGTTGTTTTCCTCCCTTATTAATGAACCTTATTTGTTATTTTCCCAAACTGTTCAGCATGCTTTTATGTTTAGTGTCAATGGGTCATTCCTTAAGTGCTCCTGATAGCACACTGATTCTTCTCCCTCCAAGTCTCTGAGTCTCTGCAGTATCTAATACTACTGCTTCTGGACCACTCCTCTAAAAATCTGCTGTGGCATAAAATGTGAGGATGCAATGAGGACTACAGGGAATTGATGTAAACTGAGACAGGGGAGATTCAGATTAGACATTAGGAAGATTTCTTCATTCTTGGGGTGTTCAGGCACTGGAATATTGCCCAGGGAGGTGGTGGAGTCACCATCCCTGGAAGTGTTTAAGAGGCATCTGGATCTGGTGCTGGAGGATCTGGTTTAGGGTTTAGGGGTTCCAGCAGAGTGACAGGTTAATGATTGGACTTGATGACCTTAGAGGACTCCTCCAACATAGATGATTCTATGATTCTATTAAAAACATGTGGCTGCCTGCAAGGAGCCATTTACCTGCCAACATATGGTGTGTACAGACACAAGGCTAGAGAACACAGCTCACCCTGCCACAGCAGTACCTCTAAGCATTATACTTCCTTGAAGCAGTTAATAACTGTCAAATCATTAATTGCTTATACTAATGCATCTTTTGGATTCATTTTTGCTATACTGTCTCATTTCAGAGCCCATTTTTGTGGATGCTCATGTTATCCCAGATGGCACTGACCCAAATGATGCCAAAATCTACTTCTTCTTCAAAGAGAGACTCACAGACAACAGCGGCAGCACAAAGCAAATTCATTCAATGATTGCAAGGATATGTCCAGTAAGAACTGTTTTATTTGCCAGGCTATTGGGACAAGCTGCTGGTGGCACATGATAAGCTAAAAGGCTAAATGATTGAAAAGCTTTTGATGCATATTCAAAATTAATTTCCTGTTTCTGCATCCACATTCATAATTGAGAAGCTGTTATTGAACTGTTGAGGACTAGAGGGAATGGTCATAAGCTGAGACAGGAGAGAGTCAGATTAGATTTTAGGAAATTTTTTCCCCCCTGTTAAGGTGTTCAGGCACTGGAATAGATTGCTCAGGGAGGTGGTGGAGTCACCATCCCTGGAAGTGTTTAAGAGGTGTCTGGATCTGGTGCTGGAGGATATGGTTTAGGGGTTACAGGAGTGACAGGTTAATGGTTGAACTGGATGATCTTAGAGGTCTCCTCCAACCTTGATGATTCCATGGCTCTAAGTGAAAAGATCCTTGAGTGAGCAATGACCATGCCAGCAGGACTTGCAATAATGAAAAACTTTCTTAACTCACACTAACCATCATTTCTAAATTTAGTTTGGAGCATCCACATCGTGCCAGAATGGCTTACTAGGTCAGGGGCATCTATGCTGGGGTCAGGACTAGAAGAAACCTCCCCCTGTAGGACTTGAGACCTTTTAAAGACAGCATGGACTTTATACTGGGTGTCACTGAGTGATATAAACCCCCAGCAGCCCTTTCAGTCATACCTACACACATTGGTGATGCCCCAAATCTGCTGCCTGAACCTCTAAGCCTGCTAGCCCAGCAGAGACACTCTGCTGAGAAAACCAATTCTTATTTTATTCTGGATATGGAGTGTTTAGATCGGGTGATTTGGTTTAGGTCTATCTGGTTTTTATATTAATGTTACCAAATAATTATCTAGACCATGAATTAACCTGAGAAGAAATGTGGGAAAGCTCAGTAAAATGTTAGCTGTGTTGTAGGTTTGTTTTCTGAACATAATATTCCTTTCCAGAATGACACAGGTGGTCAGCGCAGTCTCGTGAACAAGTGGACAACATTCTTGAAAGCAAGACTGGTGTGCTCTGTAATGGATGAAGATGGAACAGAAACATACTTTGATGAACTAGGTATCACAAAAAAAAAAAAAAATCCCTTACAAGTTTTCTTGAAATCTTACACCCCGTGTGCATATTTAATTGTTGATGTTCATAACAGTTTCTTAGTCAGGTTGTTGACATTGAAATCTTGGCTCTAGAAATCCATGGCAAAATTTCCCTTGCAATTTTACGAGAGGAAAGGAAAAAGTTCTTCATAAATCTCTCTGGGTAATTATAATTACCTTTGAAATAAAGGTAATTAATCTTGACTATGTAAAGGAATTATAGATGTAAAGAATTACTATTTGCAAGGAAACATCTCAGTGAATCCATTGCTGTTTTGCTACTAGTTAGGACTGTGATAAAGGTTTTTAACATACATCTCTTTGAAACTCCTTCTTTTCCCCTGTACTCAGTGCTGGTGAGGCCACACCTTGAGTACTGTGCTCAGCTCTGGGCCCTCAGCTCAGGAGGGACATTGAGGGGCTGGAGCAGGTCCAGAGAAGAGCAACGAGGCTGGGGAAGGGACTGGAGCACAAGTGCCATGAGGAGAGGCTGAGGGAGCTGTAACTGGCACCAGGAATAATACAATGAATCAATGCAATTTCTCAGAAATCATTCAGTCACACAGATTTTTGGTTCAACAAGTGAGACACTGTAAAGATTCAGTGCAGAATCTGTGTAGCAGTCACAAGAGGTTTTTGTTCATTACAGATTTGATAGATGCATATCTTTATACATAAATGCCAAACAACATTATCAGAAAGTTTCAAATTCTATATTGCCACAGCTGAAGTGTGCAAAATCACAGTTCCAAATTCATATACTGGAAGATCTGGCATGTGCATTAGTGTAAATGTTAATAGCATAAACAGCTAATGGGCCTTGCACTGATTCGATCTCTCATTGCTATCTCTCTTTTCTCAGTTGTTATTCCTTATTCTCATCATCTCAAATGGGGTTTGGAGTCTTTTTGAGTTTATGTATTTACAACTATTTTAGTGTCCTTGCATGGCTCAGGCTTTTGGTGGAGCCTGATGGGCCTAGAAGCACATCCTAACTTGCTCCAACTCAGAATGTGCAAGATGCTTGGAGGACTGATTTTCTGAAGTTCACAGTGTCTCAGCACTGCCACAGCAACTTATCTTTCAGAACTGTGGTTTACCAACCCCCTCCTCTCCAACAAAGCAGTAGGATAACTGCTTTTAGTTTAGGACCATAGTGAATGTAGAGCCATAGTGAATAGGAGACAATGTTCTCAGCGTGGGCTCCCAGCACAATTCCCTAACAAAGAGAAAGAATACAACCACAACTGGAAATTCAGGGAACTGGGAGAGGGCAAACACATGCTTCTGTGTTCATGTATAATGCACGAGAGTGTAACACTTCCAGTTCTGCATGGTGAAATCTTTTGCTTTTGACATATTGAAAAGAATATTTTACAAATTCACAGGGTTAAATGAAGGAGCCACATAAATTAATGGGAAGCTAAAGAACATAGTCTGTGATAAAAGGTTCGAACGGTTCAGCCTTGTTTTTTGTGTTGTAAATGAAGTTTAAGAGGAGGCATGATTATAGTTATTAAAACTGTCAGGGATTAAAGTAGTTTTCACTGAAGTGTAAGAAAAAAAATCAACAGATCAGAGGTAACAGTGGGCAAGTTCAGTCCAGTGAGTAGAGACAGTTAACACAGTACAGTCAATAAAACCCTACACAACAGGAGCTGAGAGGTTTACATCTCTCAGTCTCTTCACTGCCAAGCTGTGTGTCATTCATATCATGTCGAAAATAGGGTAGTGAGGGCACTGAAGTTCATTCTGGATGATAAAACACCTAATTTCCCTGTTTTCAATTACATCCACTTATGGGAACTCTTTGTCTTTAACCTATTGCAACTTTAATGTTTGCCTACTGTTAAACAACCTCCTGAAACAAGATCCAGCTGAGAGAAATGTGTGACATGGATCCTGAACGGATCTGAAAATCTTTGCCTTCTGTCCCCATAAGGCTGCAGGGTGTGGAGTTAATTTCCTAGTCTGTTTCTGAATGTTCAGATGCTAAATTTATGCATATGGTCTGTTCATATGGTAAGTCTGAGACAAAACTACCGTTTACTTTAGCAGGAATAAAGCCGTAACTCAAACTGGAAAATAAAGGTTTTATTAGTATTAAAAAATCTTTTTTCTTTTTCCTTTTTTTTTTCTTACAGAGGATGTGTTTCTTTTAGAGACAGACAACCCCAGAACCACTCTTGTGTATGGAATTTTTACAACATCAAGGTAAGCAGAGAGATTTGAAACAAATTACCTTTGGAACTGTCTGATTTTCTAAATGAAAACTGAAGGTGATGCTTTGTGGACCAGGCTGTGCTGGGCAATTTTGTGTGTCTGCTGTGTCCATCTTTTTGCATACAGGGGTGAAAGTCTCAGTATCATTCCTGTTGTTAGAGCTATGCTCCTTGGAGCAAATTGCTTCCTATGCCAGGAAGTATCTGTTGGCACTGGGAAAATATTTCCATGGAGGGACACTTGTTGCTCTTCAGCTAAATGTCTTCAACCCTGTGAACTTAACTGACATCTGAGAGCACTTAACACCTCCCGAAGAACATCCAGCACCCTGAAGGCTCAAATCAGGAACTCTTATATGATTTCATACAAATCATTTCCAGTCTCTCGGTTGGCAGATGATCACACAGATGGCAGATAACCCATAGTGGCTTCAGTTGGCCACAAAAAGACAAGCTTAGATGGCATTTGATCACCTTCTTGTGCCCCTAAGCTCCTTGTTACCCGTCAATAGTGTTCACTTACTGTCCAGTTTAGAGAACGTTCAGTGAGCTCCAAGGGTTCTAGAAAGTTCTAGATGTGGCTCACTATACTAAAACTCTCCACAAATGTAGACCAACAGGTGAACTAACAGATTCTTCCATCTCTACCTGTACTTTTTTGCTCTTGCTCACATCAGACAGTATTAGTGTAGAGTAGAAATAGTTACTCTCTGATATCTGATATGCTATCCTATATTATTTAGCTGTTACTTATCTTCAAGAGGTTTTATGCTCTTTCATTTAATTTATTCCATCAAATTAGCAAATTATGTAATTTATTACAAATAACTCCTTTAATGACAATTTCTAGCAAAAACATTCCTTGCATAACTTGCTTTTTCCATGGGGATCCAAGGATCTGCCTTCTCAACTATCTGAATAAGACAGGAGAATATGAGTTTATGATATTTAATTGGGAAAAAAAGCATCACATAGCTTGGAAACATTTGGTGCTGTCTCCAATTTATGATTCCTGCTTCACAAAAAGAGAAAATGAGGAGGTTGTGTTTAGCAGTAAAACCACACTTATGATTAGGTTGTGGATGCAACATGCCTGAGCTGGAAACACTTCTACCTAATTCTTCTGGTATTTCTGCAGTGGAAATGAGGTTTGAATCACAGGACCATATAAGGTGACAACAAAGAGAAAACTTCACTTTTTCCTGGCTCTCCAGCTATTTTCTCTCTCTGTGGAAGTTTTTACACACATGCATTTCTGTTGCTGTGAACCACATGGATTATGCTTGTTTTCTCTTTGCTCAACTGGAGATTAAATGTGTTACCTAGTTAAATGCAGCAACCATAAGGGGTTTTACTCCTTAACAGCTCCAGTATTTTCATCTCTGTAGCCCTGCAACTCATAACAGTAGCAAGAGATAAACATCACAGGAAATAATAACTATTAGTATTTTTATTGAAACCATACACAGGGAAACTAAGTAATACTGAAGGAAATTATTTTAGTGGTATAATGTGCTGTAAATCTAGCATAAAACATCTGGAAAGACTAAATACATTTCTCAAGACCTATTAATACCTAGTAAAATTTCCACAAATGCCATAATCCCTCTAAAAGGTTCCTTCTCCTCATCCATACATAGCTGAGAGCAATGTGGATTTCTCTTTCTTGTTTAGACATTTTGTGTAATGTTTTCTGGGGTTTTTTTCTGGAGGTTTTTGGTTTCTTTCCTTCAGTTGAAAACGGTTACTTGGATTATCTTCATCCTACATTTAACATCAGACAGATTTTAAACTGTTTGGAGTTTCCACCGTGTAAAGATAAATATCACAAACTTTACATGCAGTGAGAAAAAATGAAGGGGTTAATTCACTGCAGTCAGCCTTAGCATCACTCTGGAAATTATTCCCCTAGTGTTCTTCATCATTACAGGGTGATGGAGACCAGTCAGGACTTGTGTTAACTGAGATCATCTGAGACTGTGACTGAACCCAGAGCAGTGGGAAAAACATGCCCTTTTCTTAGGTGGCTCCCTGGGTTCTCCTCAGAAAGCCTCAAACTTGGATCTTTGTAAGACCAGGTTTGTGGGTGGATTTGAGGACTGTATAGGAGCAATTCCTTGACAGCCACAACATGTCCCTATATTGCTTATAAAACCTGACAGCAGATTGCAATAATCCAACCAATTGCAATTGCTCTGAATGTTTTGCTTAATATTTTAGCCATGTATTTTAGGAGGCTCATGATGTCTTGTGGTTAATATACTGGTAGGGAGTTCTGGAGACCTGTGCTGAGCTTGGCACTACAAAGTTTATAAAACTCTTGTCTCACTGAAGTCAGCAATATTTTTTGCCATTGATTTAACTGGAGCCAGATTATATTTCTTTTATACTCAGCATTAGGCAGTGTTCTTATTGCACCAGTAGGGTAGTGCCTTCCTCCCTCTTCTTTCAGTTCACTGTTCAAAAAGGTGCTAAGTTTTGAGGAGTGGGGTGTATCAGGCAAGGCATTGCCAGCTGGTGGAGGGAGGTGATTGTCCTGCTCTGCTCTGTGCTGGGGCAGCCTCACCTGGAATATTGTGTGCAGTTTGGGCACCACAATAGAAGAAAGATATGAAGTTGTTGGAGAATGTCCAGAGGAGGCAATGAAGGTGATGAAGGGCCTTGAGGAGAAGCCACATGAGGAGTGGCTGAGGTGACTTGTTCTGTTCAGCCTGGAGAAGAGGAGACTGAGGACAGAGCTCATCCCTGGATACAATGTCCTCAGGGAAGGAAGTGCAGGGACAGCTCTGACCTCTTCTCTCTGGGCCCAGGGACAGGACCCAGGGAATGGGCTGGAGTTGTGTCAGGGGAGGTTTGGGCTGGAGATCAGCAAATGGCTCTTCCCCCAGAGGTGTTTGGGCACTGAACAGCTCCCAGGGCAGTGTCACAGCCCCAAGCCTGACAGAGCTCAAGGAATGTTTGGCCAATGCTCTCAGCACAGGGTGTGATTGTCAGGAATGTCCTGTGTGGGACCAGGAGTTGGATTAGATGATCCTCAAGGGTCCCTTCCAACTCTGATTATTCTGTGATTCTGCGATATTGGGCAGCTAGATTAGTTGACTTTGTTGCCTAAATTGATTAGTTGACTAAATCCAAGCTATAGAAGCATTAAATAGTAATAAATGTATTATTTTCGAGGCATCTTTCATTATTGGACCATGCAAAATGATGGAAAAGCAATAAAAGAGTTAGTAGATTGCAATCCTGACTTTTCCCTACTATCTTCCAGCTCCATATTTAAAGGCTCAGCTGTCTGTGTGTATCATCTGTCTGACATCCAGACTGTGTTCAATGGGCCGTTTGCACACAAGGAGGGCCCAAACCACCAGCTGATTCCATATCAGGGCAGAATTCCATACCCACGTCCTGGCACTGTAAGTACAAAGATGTTTATGCAGGCTTGCCAATTGCTTGCCTTTGTTTAATACATAAATAAGTATTATTTATTCCAGGAGAAAGGAGTGTACGTGACTAGGACAGTTACAGTTCAGAACAAGTTTATTTACATCTCCAAATGACTGTACAAATCACATAGTATCTGGAAATCTTCTAAAATTTAGTCATGTAAAATGTTAATCACTCTTTCTGCTGGAGAGGGGGTAAGAATTAGGTGACAGTTATCTTGTTTGCATGTGCATTTCCATTTTGGGTGTATATTTGAGCAAAATGTAGCTAAATAATTAAGCATACAAAGACAGAATTGTGAGTGTGTTCTACAGTCAGGATCCAAATGTCTGTAAGTCTGTCTTCAGTCTATATGAATTTTCCATAGTTCTCTAAAGTTTTGCAGCTCGACTTGGATACTTAGGAGATGTAGTAGGAGATACAGCAGGATAACAAGTCCTCTGGGACTTGTCATTTGACTAGGTCTAATATCCTGTCAGGTACTGAATCTTAGAAGAGAGACCTAGAAGTAGATGAGTTTTCATGCCAATCAGTTCACAGTAGTCTCTTTGTTAAGAACACTTTTTCTATGGCATGAAAAATTTTCAGGTCTCTCTCTCACTGTGTCGGGGTAGTAATAATGTTCCTGTAAATTCTGTACCCAATTAGAGATAGCTCTGTTTCCAAGACATGCAAAAATATCTCATGAAATATTTTAAACCATTCCTTCTTTTTTCTTTTCACCTTTATGGTGTATAAAAATTGCTGTTGATGCACTTTTGTCTCTATTTATTTACTTCATTATTTGCACTATTCTTAATTTAGATTTAGCAGCAATATTAGGCCTAATATTTCCAGCTTTAATGAAGAATGTATGAACTTTCTCTAGAATCCTCTGTGAATCTCTACTTGCTAAATGAAGTAAGACAGTGTGGATGTGTGTTGGCTCCTATGAAGTCTTCTTGCAATTTCTTAAGTATCAGAACGAAATAAGAATGCAATGAATCACCTCAACAATTCAGTTTAAATATTTTTAGATTAACACTGTTGCTTTCCCATTTATCACAGGAAATTAAATTTGATTTTAACTTTGTCAGCCCCTGTGAGGACCTTTAACCATATCACTATTTCGTCTTTGTGCTGCAAGATCTTGTTCTTTTTCTCTCTTTCTCTCTCATACATGGAATAGCTCAGATACATGGAATAGCTCTCACTGTTCACACAATTCTTCATGACATTTTCATGTGGTGATTTCTGGCTATAAGAGTTAGGACTTTATGTTCCCAGATCTCTAGAATTAGCAAATCAATACTTGACATTCCACTAAGGTTTAATGCTAGCATTATTCTTTCTTTGCAATTAATTCATACAGCTCTAATCTCAGGTGCTCACTGAGGCTTCAGACTTAAACTTTACCAAAAAAATCCCCAAATAAATGGCCCATTTAAGCAGGAAGTTTCATACTCTTGTGATTAGTCACATTTCAGAGTTTCTTGCTGCTTCAGAGTATTGTGTTTGTATGTGTTTCCTCAACCACTGCCATGTTATTCTTGGTTCACCTCATGGAGACTTATGAGGTATTCCAGATGGTTTTAAAGAAATTGGGCAGCACAGTGGAAAAGGAAAAAAAAATTAGATTTGGATCTAACATGGTGACAGAAATTATCAACATTTTTCAGATGTGCCAATGAGCTCTGAATTGGAAGAGAAATACTTAGATTATAGCTCACACAGAAACCAAAGTCAAAAGAGATTCCTTTAGGTGATCGTTGCTTTTTTCTGATCACTGGCTTTTCTGTGCTTCCTCATAGCCACAACAGTATCTTAAAGGCATATTTTCTAATCTGGAATTCGTTGGCTTTGTCCAATTTTAAAGTGTCCCCAACTCTATTTTTTACTTATATCAAAGTGTCTGGCTTTGTCCAATTTTAAAGTGTCACCAACTCTATTTTTTACTTATATCAAAGCATCTGCAAAGGTCAGGGCATGGGGATATTTTGCTGCTCTAAATCTGTGCTCAAAGAGTTAATTTTGATTAGCCATGCTTGCAGACTGTGGGGCATGATCCTCTTTCCCCTGGAATGTAGGGTTTCTTGCAATTTCTGAGATACAGGACTAGACAGGGATGCCTTTTTCTATGACATGGAAAATTCTACTTTACAAGGCATGATCCTCTTTCCCCTGGAGTATAGGATTTCTTGCAATTTCTGGGATGCAGGACTAGACAGGGATGCCTTTCTCTATGACATGGAAAATTCTACTTTACAGTTGCCTAAAGAGATATTCGTACTAAACCTCTGGACAGAAATGAAGGTTCATCGTGTCGCAGTACGTTGGATAAACAATGGAAAGGCTTTGGTATAGCTTCAGTAGGATTAAATAAAGCAAAACATTCTTTTGGCCATGATCAGCTCTGCATTGTTTGGCTGACCTTCACTAAATACCAATGGTTTCTTATTTCTCCACAAGCAAAAGTTACTTATGGAAAAAAAAAATTCATAATTGGCAGCTTGCTACTAAATTCAGTGATGTTTGGGGATAGTTTCCATTTTTCAGAGTTTACAGTAATAGATTTTGTACCTACAGCATGTTGGGGAATATGCTGTAAATTAAAGAATTCTGGTTTTCTCTGCAGTCTAACTGCATGGTGATCAGCTGTGAACATAAGATTGTGTAGCCAAGTCCTTGAATGAGGTGTGAAGGAAACACATTCAATCCCTCCAGGAAAGGGAAAGCTTATAGAGTTCTTCAGTAACATCTTTTCCTTGTCATTGGTTTGTACAGTGGATAGCAAAAGAATTAATTGATTAAAGATGTTTGTTAAGGCTTTGCTCAGAACAACAATATAATATCAGTTTTTAGGGTCATACTGGGGTGAATCACAGTGCAGACATTTTTGCAGGAAGTCACAGACAGAGGTCTTATGATCACCAAGTCAAGAATGGAAGGATTGAAAGCATCAAAGTGTTTTAATTTAGCTATGTGAGACAGGAAAGTTTAATTTGAACTGCTTGTGAAACAGAATCCCTCTCGAGGGAAACTGGAAGAGCACTACCAAGTAGAATAATATTGCTAATGATGAACACAGTTGTTTTCTCAGCATTTGTTGCTAATCTTAACAGATAGCTCCATACATTTTCTGGAAGGCTGTGAATAGATGTACAAGAGAGGGAAGGAGTAGACCAAGCAAGATAATAAAATTCCATTTTGTGAGCCATCTTAAAGGACTAGCATGTAGTATCATTTCTAATGAGAGCCAAACCAAAACCCTCAGGATAACTGAGAGTCCAGAAAAATCAACTGTCAAGCATGTCAGATGACAAAAATGACTCATATCTGAGCTGAGTTCTGGTTCTTCTTCCTGGAGGTAACTGAAGCCAGAGCAATTTCTTTGAAAGAATTCCTACCCGAGCTGTTCTACTTTGTATGAATAATTAAATCCTAATTGAGCCAGAAGCCTGAGATTACGCCAAAGTCTCCTCTCTACTTGGTTCCTGGTCTGGCCTGATGAATAGTTTATTAGGTGCATGATATGGAACAGCTTTTAGCAGCAGGTTATAACAGGTCTTCCTGCCTGGTGGTTAGAGAGATCCCCTGGGAGGTGAAGACCCAAATTCTAACATTTCATCTCCTCAGGTAGGTTGGAATCATGACTCATATATCCCCTGAGAGTTTCCTAGTCTCTCAGCATACAATTCATTTTTATATAATTTTAGCCATCTGAAACCAGGGCAGTTAGTCTGAATTAGTGACTACTGAGGAAACCTAAGAATAAATGCCTGACTTTGAGACAGTAGCAGTCAGGTGAGGTAAATCTCTCCCTGAGCTACTAGCTATTTTATGTCTGTGGTTTTGACCAGAAATTCCATCCTAGATGGAAGAATGGCCCTCATCAAAATAAACAAGTTTCCATCAAGTGCTTTTTTATTGGAGAAATCAACATTTCCTATTGGAAAAAATACTGTGTTGAAGCACTTCTGAATAGCTCCAATACTACAAGGAGTATTTTATAGCTCAGAACAGAAACATGGTAAGGGGGAAAATGAAAGCTGAGGAGCAGCAATAAGAAATGAGGTAATGGTAGCTGAAAAAAAGTCATGTAAATTAACACAGGAACATCCAGAACATTGTACCAGTTATCAACGAAGCTCTGATTTCTTCCCAGTCTTCTTTTAGTTGCGTTCTCAGTAAACACTTGAGTTTTCTAAGATGGTTTTTATTTTCTTGTGAGGTCCAAAATGCCTCAGTGCTAACTATTTGATTAGTTCTTCATTATATTTAAAGAAGCATCATGGACCTCAGTTGTTTCTTAGGCAGAGGGGAAAGTATCACAACATCCTGTGAATGGTCAGTCTTCTCAGATATAAATGAGTTGTTAAGGACCCTCTCATCAACTCTATATTATTGCTTTTTCAAATGAAGAAGAGTCACAGGCCCTTTCATCAGCTCATAATCAACAGAATGACTAGAGGAATACAGACCAAATTACAATTAAGTAACAGGTTTTGCCTTTGTACTAGTAGCAAAACAGATGCTGAAGTTCGGTATCTTCCCATACCAATCTCTTGGAATTTTCTTTTTTCAAAAAGCAGTTTAGAAGCATAAAGTATGTAGAAACAGGTCCAGAAGTACATATCTTTGCCATCAAGCTGAGTTTTGAAAGTGCAGAAATACCTTTGTGTTTGTTTTATCAGAATTGACAAGAGTTCAAAGTGGAGCTATTCAGCACTTCATTCCTGTTGCTGGAGCATAATTAGTTTCGGTCAGAGCCTGAAGTGCTCTTTCAGGAATTTACTTTCTCAACTACCTGTCAATATTTGTAAATGACTTGGAGATGAAAACTCTCTGAAAGATGGGAAGTATTGTTAAGCATTAATGTGCATGTTTCTTGCAGTGTCCGGGAGGAGCCTTCACACCTAATATGAGGACAACCAAAGAGTTTCCAGATGATGTTGTGACCTTCATTAGGAATCACCCTTTGATGTTTAATCCCATTTACCCAATACACAAGAGGCCATTAATCATCCGGATAGGAGCTGACTACAAGTATACAAAGATTGCTGTGGACAGAGTGAATGCTGCTGATGGAAAATACCATGTCTTGTTCCTTGGGACAGGTAAGACAACCTTAGCGTTCGTTTTCCTCCGCTACAATATCATTTGCAATCAACACTGATTTGTACAACTTAGAGCTTTCAGGGACATTTGGTTAAACATTTGCTAGCTTCAAAAATGTCTGTATAAATCCATAAATTATGTTCTTTTTACTTTCTGCACATTTTTATATTTACTATAGACATCAGTTATGTGCAAGAGATACGATATATTGATATGGATTTTATTTGAGAAAGAAACACTAGTGCATACTTATTGGATCTAAATTGGCCCAACATGAGTTTATGAAAGGCAGGTCCTGCTTGACCAACTTGACCTCCTTCTGTGACAGGATGACCTGCCTTTATGAGGGAAAAGCTGTGGGTGTTACATACCTGGACTTCAGTAAAGCCTTTAACACCATTTCCCACAGCATTCTCCTGGAGAAATGGGCTTTGAAATGGGTTTGAAAGGTTTGGCACAAGAACTTTTTGGGCCTGATTGTCCAGTGATCACTGCACCCATGCAGGCCCAGAGAGTGGTGGTGAGTGGAATTCCATTCAGCTGCCAGCCAGTCATGATTTGTGTTCCCTCAAGTCTTTCCCAACCTAAAGGATTCTAGGATTCTATGTTCTTCTGTCAAACTTTTCAAACCTACCAAAATAGATCACCATCCACCTTAGTGAGAATGCTTAGAGTATAAAAAGGCATAGTCAGGGTAGAAGATGATCTGGGTAATGAATTATATAAGGAATTTCATTAGTTTTTGTTCTGGGTATATTTGTTTTCTGGGCTGGCAGTTGATAAATTAGTTTCAACATATCCCTGAAGATCTCTTTGATCCTATTTGCAGAGTCATTGGAAACTACTAAATTCACCTAATTAGGACAGGGCTTTCTTTGAGGTTGGTTATTCCACACCCTCCACACCTCCCCTCCTCAATATATAACCACATTTTCTGTTTAGTTTAATTAATGCAGCTATAGTTCTTGTCTTTGTGACCCTTTAGGGTCATTTTCCTCCTTTCCTGCAGAAGCAAAGAAAAGAGTCTTTGTACACTACAGTAGAAACGTCAGAAGTGTTAATAGATATTGTCCCTACTCTTGTTATACAACTCCACAAGGACACTTAGTAAAAGAGAAGGTTTGGTTTTCTGTTAGTTTTATTCCTTGGCAAATCATTATGTTTAGGCAGAGTAATAGCTTGGTAGGCTAGTACAGATCTTTCAAATTAATGTTTTGTTCATATTTTATATATATATGTGATGCTGTTGTCTTAAAATTCTCTATAAAAATCCAATGTTATTTGGAGGGAAATTCTACTAAGGATTAGTGGAAAAGATCAAGACAGAATTTTCCAACCCATATAGGATTGTTAAAGTAGCAGTGATAGTTAAAACTGGAAATGCATTGAAAAGTTAAAATGTGCATGAAATCACAATATTGATAGTATTGTAATAATTCTGCAAGAGCTAAATATAGGTAATTTCACTGTATACTCTGATGACCATCTGACTGGTTTTAGGTGATCAGTGTGGCCTCACACCTGTGAGCTGTTAAAAACGTGAATATACCTCAGCTTGTTCCTACATTTTGCTAATTTTCTTCTGTGTATCAGCACAGAACCCATTGTGGATCAGATATATAAGCTGCAGCTCTTGATACTTTATATTCATTGCTTTATCTTCTGCATTACACTCGAGACAAGGATCATTTTCTGCTCTCTATTTAGTTGGAGGGAAGGCATTATTCTTCCTGAGTAGGGCACAGGACATTAATAGCTTCCAAGGTCTTCCTCAGAAGAAATTGGTGCAATGCAAGTTACTGTATTTCTCATCCCTTTCAAATAAGTGATCAAATTTCAGCCACTGAGAGGAGAAACTTGTTTTCTTTATTCTATGCTTTCTGTGAGACTCAGGAGGATTTGAATCAAGATATTAAGTGTCAAAAGGAATGCAGAGGGGATTTGCTTTGGTGTCAGTTCATCCCAGCAAATGCAAAACCCACATTGTGTAGGAGAATTTCATGTGATAATTTCCTTGGGAGCCTGGAGCCCCACAGCCAGAGACAATGGGACTTGACACCTGGTGACAATTACACTCGGCTTGGATGATGAGTTACTGCTGCTGAACTGAGATGTTGCCAGCCATGTCTGTCACTGTCAGTGACCTGTCTCATGCTTGAAACTGGAGTGTTTTATGTCTTGCCAGATGCAGAGCACACAAAATGTTTAGCTTTTCCTCTCTTCCTCCTCTGTAGCCTTAGTAATAAATCAGTTCCTGAATGCAAGTGAAGAATAACAGAAGTATAAAGCTCCAAGAACACCAGTGGTTTTCATCATGTAGCCATGGCATGGAAGGGTATAGACAGCTCTGTAATTTCTTCACATTAACGTGAACTAAATGTGGTGTTTCCTTTGTGCCCCCAGCCAGAAGTGCTGAGCTCACAGGGGCTGGTCCATGCCCAGAGTTAACAGGTTGCTTTTCTCCCTCACTTGCCTACATAGCAAACAAAATAAACCCCAGGGACAGACATTGTTGTCACAGTATTCCACCCACTTTTCAAATTATAACAACCTCCTGCTTTCCCTATGCTTCTTAACATTAAGGCTCTCAAAGCACTTAACTAAACTTAACTAAACTTAACAAAACTTAACTAACCAAAACTTGCTAGTTTTGTTAAGTCCACCCAAAGGGAGCTCTTCACCCCCCTCTGACATGAGCTGTCTTGGAGTAAGGAGAAAGTCTTGACTGGTAGAGAGCAGTGCTAAAAAAGTACTGTATAAGTTGTCTTCCCAAACAGAAACCCAAGAGAGATAATTTCTTTGGAAAGAATGTAGTCACTCATTTACATATTTGACAAGGGCAAAGCTGGTGATATTTTTCCCTGTGCAATGAGTAATAACATATTCAGTTCAGGAATTTGGGATTAGAGTTGTTTCGATTATCCTGTTTTTGTGGTAGGCCAGGGCTCAGTCTGAATATTGTGGATTCACCCTAGAGCTGTACTGTCATTTCTTTACTCTTTCAGTTATATCCAAAGAACCTGAGCTTCCCATATTTTCTGTTATCCTTTGATAGATTGTTTTCTATCTGTGTTTTAAACCAGCAGTAAACCAGCAGGAGAACATTTTCCTGAGATTAATATTTATTTTTTAAGCATGCCACCTACTGCTTGCAGCACGAAAGCCTTTGGTCAAAGTACACACAGATTGCACAACCAAAAGATTATGCATGGGGTTTTTTATTGCTCTTGGTGTTATGAAAATATTTAAATGTCTGGGTCAAACTTGGGTACATTAAACAGCCATGGGCACCAACAGGATTTATTTTCAGCTCCTTACTATCAACATAGGATATGTCTTTGTGGAAAGAGATCTTAGTGACTGTCTTAAAAAGGCACTTCAGTCTTCAGTGTGGCTTTTTCAGACAGTTAATATTGGCCATATGCATCTGATGTGGTGTGAGGCTGATCAGTGTTTCTTATTATCTTTTCTTCTCTGATGCAGCACTTGTATTCAGAGTCTGGATGCAGTAAGTGCCTCCAAAATATAAGGTTGTAACTACTCATTTTCATGGTGTTATAGAATGGCTGCCTCTTTGGAAAACTAACCTGTGCTGACAACAGGAGCCTCCAGTAATGCAGTAGCCAAAATCATGTAATGATCTACAGATTCTAATGGAGAAGAGGTACTCTGGCCAGAATAGCAAACTTGTCTCCCATAATTTTGCTGGCTGCAACTTCATGACTGTGAGCTTGGGATATTGCACAACAGTGGCACAACAGGTGTCAGGCTAAATTTCCTTCTTCCTCTTGGCCATAGTGCCTGAGTCCTTCAAAACCTTTCATTGATTTCCTCATCCAAAACTTTTTCACAGACTTTTAAGAAGATATGCAAGAAGGCCATTCCTCCACCTGCTTCATTTCCCCTGTTCAGTTTTTGTCCAAACAAGCTCATGCTGCACCCCAGAAGTCTGACCAAGCTGGGGCTGTGTGAAGATTTTGTCCTCAACTGTGAGCGTTTGTATCTTTCTGTTCTTTGATGGAACTTGAATTTTACAAAGTTTCAGAGTGATGCTATGAGCTGGAAAAAAAAATACACCCATTTGACAAATGAGTGAACTAAGCAGAGAGTTTAGTGACTGTGCTGGGAGCTCTGAGTTACAGCAGACACATAAGGACAGCAGAGAGTGTGGGGATGTGGCTATCAGTCCTGACTGCTAACCTGCCACCATCTCAGCTGAACCTCAATATTTTCTCAAACAGAGAGATTTTAAACATTCCATAAGCCTTTTGCCTTTTTTTTCCTTTTTAATGTTATTTGTTTGCATAAGGTTCAACTCAGATTGCAGACCAAAAATAATTAAGTTGCCATTGGGCTGACAGATACAACAGGGAGAAAAGTTTTCAGAGGATCTCCAGTAGTGTCAGACACATCAGGGATGGGGATTACTGCAGGAAGCCTCTCAAAACTCATGTCAGAGCAGAAGTTGGTGCTCATTGCAGTCATGTTTTTATGATGTGGAAAATTCAGGTTTGTTGGTCCATTTGTGCGTGTGATGTGGCTCAGGGGTAGGTGGGTCCCAACTGTCTTTGAGGCTCACATTACTGACAGCTGCAGTGTTCATTTAGGGCTGGGGAAACAAAAGCTAGGCAAAATTCAGAGAATGAGGTTTGAACTCAGACCTTCAGATTCAGCCAAACACCTCTGTATTTTTCATTTCTATTTATTAAGCTTTGCCTTTTCCATTGCCCATGGTCAGCCAGACCAGGAATTAGTGTAATCAGGCATAGTGTAACTGGTATCAGTGAAGCTTAGTTGATTAATATCAGCCCAGAATCATGCCTCGCATCTCAAGGAATATTATTATGATTATTTGTCTCTTCAGCTTCTTTCCTTGAACCATTTATTGGACTGCCTTCCTTCTCCATTCCATACTCTGCATACTCTCTGCACCACTTTTTAGTCTGCAGGTTGTTAGCGCTTTCCTCCCTCACTGTTCCCAGTTTCTTAGTCCTCTCAAAGGCAACTCAGTCTCAATATCACTGTCTTTCATGTCAAGCTGGGACACCTGCAGTTCTTAAGGAGGTTTGAAAT